GTTAACATTTTTTAGATACTATACCTATGCCGTTTCTAATGAATACTGTTTTGGTATAGTGTTTTGCCTAGATTTAATTTAAAGTATTATAAATTTAATAATGTCTGGTGAATAAATTATAGGCATTTTTAGACCTTCAGTAAATAAATGTTAAATTTAATTGGATAAAAAAAATTAAAAATGATCAACCTTTGAGTAAAATCTGAATTTTCACTTTTTGAATTAAATTTTCCCTTTTAATTGCTGTAGGAAAAAACCTTCTAAATTTAAGCTACATTATTAAGTTATGATGAATTGGCAGGATTGATTGAAAGGTGATTCTGCTCACTCAGTAAATCATATTGGTTTTTTTTCTGTTCTTGTTGTTAGTTTTAGGTTTATTTGTTGTTATTGTTTAACTTAAGAAAAAGAACATTGCCTTCGTGTACTGGGTAGGTTCTTAATAATCATTGTCACCCATCTATTTCAGGACTATTATTTTATTCTGGTTCTGGTGTTCAGAATCTTTGCAATTCTGTGTGCGATTTTGTATAAATCATAATTTTCATTGAGCATTTGCTATGTAACAGGAGCTTTGCAAAACATTTTATGTACATTATCATTTTTAATCTTTATAAAACCCTATAAGAGAGTATAATTACTGCCTCATTTTTAGAAGATGAAGTTCAAGAGATTAAGTAATTTTCTCAAGATCTAAGTGATGGAACCAGGATTTAAACCTTAGTCAGCAAAATTCCAGTCTCAAGCTTTTATCACACTGATTGTCATCTTGTAAAACTTAGTGACAAGGAACCTCATTAAAAAATGAAACCAGGAGGCCAAAAGGTGGTATTCTCATGCCCCAATTTCACTTTGGACCCCAACATAAGAGCTTTCTGTTTGTGATAACTCTCCCAACATCCTCTTCTCAATAAAATAACCTCCTTTCCTTTGTTTCTCAAGACTTGCATGTGGTTCTCCATTAGATCCTTTGTCCCCAACTGCAATTCTTTGTTGTTACTGCAAAGAATTTCTCTGTTGTTGGAGAAATATCTGCTTGTCTATTTGTTGAAGGGCAGCAATCTTAACTTCATTTTCTTTTGTAATGTTTTACTGCAATAGCTTATTCTTTGCTCACATATGCTTTGTGGCCACATTGTACTTCTTTCTTTAGCTACTGTTTATATATAATTACCATAATTCTCTATTTTTTAACTGCTATAGATATAAACCTTGGGAAAAATGTGGCACCGTTAGAAACGCTTACAAAGTACGGTGTAATTATTTAGCCCTGTTCTACTTTATAACCAATTTTCCACTTGTGTGCCTTGAGCAAACTGGAAGCCTTGTGTTTTTAGAATCAGTTTGCCATTCACCTAGAATTCATATCTTTTCAAGTTTATGAAGTTATCTTTTTGACAGTATTTCAGGAGATAAAATTATTCATATAAAGGCTGTGGTTGTCCCAAAAAATTGATTTTTGTATTAAATAAAATATTGATTCTTAAATCTATCTGGGGATTAAATTCTTGATTTGGATTAAAAACAAACATCAACACTTCCATAATTTTATTATATCTGAGGTTCCATTTCTCACTTAGAAAAATCAAGTTAATCTCTTAGAAATGCCTTCCACAGGGTCCCTTCGCATTTACTGAAGTCAAAGCGTGTGGCACTTTTGGAGCTGTAGTGACTCTTATCTCTAAGCACCACAAAGTACCATAAGTAGATTGTACTGTTGCTCTCCTTCATTGTCTGATTATCCCAGCCTTGCGTCAGAAGAATAACATCTTAAGATTGGACGGTAGCCAATTCAAGACACTAAAATGAGGCATTAACTTTAGAGGATATTTATGTTCCAAAATAGTAGTTAAGATTTTTTTTTTTTTTTTACTGAATTTGATAAACTGTATTTTTTTGTATTTATTATGTAAAACTAAAATATTTATGTCAGAAAACCAAATGCATTTATTGAGTTCTTTTTCATTGGGAAAGGAGATGCTAGAGTGCAGAGGATCCAGCAAGAAGAAAAAGACTAGGCCATCACTGCTGCTCCACCCCCTTCTAACCATGTGACTTTAGGTAAGTCACATCCTCTTCGTCAGCTTCCTCCACATTTAAAGGTAGGCTTTAGATCATTCTGATTACTATCCAATATTCTTACAAGGACCACGTGATGTAATATGTGAAAGTTTTTGGAGGCTTGTGAAGCAATATATAATTCAATATAAGATCTTATTAGCTGAGTTTTTTAAAAAATCTTTCTCACATGAGCTAAACTCTGCTCATCCTTTTTCCAATTCTCAAAGCATGCCCCTAGTAATGAAAGACAAGTTTTATTAGGATGTAATATTTTTATTTTATGGGGGCATGGCCATACCATTGAATTTTCCACAGCTTCACTTTTTCACCTCTTGGCCTGGATGGGTTCAATAAACCACATACCTATTTAAGGGCAAACTAATAAATTACTATCTATGACAAAGTGCAGCAGTTTAGGATTATATTACTGACTATGTGATAATTATAAGGTACTAATAATTAATAGAAAACATTTATTAAAGGCTGACTCTTCTAGGCATTTTGTTATGTGAAGAAAATACTGTTTAAACCTCAGAAGGACCCTGTCACTATTTATTATTTCCAGTTTTACAGGTCTCAAATTTGAACTCACATCTGATTTTAAAGCATTTAGGTTTTTGGTTTTAATTATTTTTCAAATATTTTTAAAGTATATTTTTATTGATTTCAGAGAGGAAGGGAGAGAGAGGTAGAAACATCAATGATGACAGAGAATCACTGATTGGTTGCTTCCTGCATGCCTCACACTGGGGATTGAGCCTGCAATCTGGGCAAGTGCCCTAACCTGGAATAAAACCGTGACTTCCTGGTTCATAGGTCGATATTCAACCACTGAGCCATACCAGCCAGGCTCAAAGTCTTTGTTTTTAACCACATTTCATATTTCCTTGATGTCAGAAAATGAGCCCTTCTTTCTTTCTTGCTTTTTCCTTTCTTTCTTTCTTTCTTTCTTTCTTTCTTTCTTTCTTTCTTTCTTTCTTTCTTTTTTTTTTCAAACAAAGAATGATACATTTAGTACACAATGGTGCTTGAAAGAGAACTGAGATCGTTAGACAAATTTTGCTGGAAGTCTCAGAGTAGCACAATTAAAGTAATAAAGAACAGGTAACTAAATGATACTGAAGTCTAAATATAATTTCATCATAAATGTAGAATTACCAGAAAGGCACTTTTTTAACCAGACAGATTTTTCATTAGCTAATTTCATCATAACTGCTGGAGTAAACCTCAACAGTTGGCAAGCAGAGCTGGCCCATGTGTAATTATCTGAAATAACATTATTATTGCTGAAGTTCAAGGAATCTATGGTTTTTATCTATAGAAGTTTGCTACTGCAGGATTGGTCTCTTTGTGGCCTTTAATATGCATTTGTTAGGTATTATTAAAATGCACATTCTGATTACACTCACCTGTAGATAAGGTCTGGAGGGTTTCTAGCAAGTTCCCACATGATGCTGATCCTACTGATTCTACCCACCACATCTTGAGATGCGAATATATGCTAATCCTTAATTTTTTTCAGAAAAATGTATTTATAGATTTTCAAAATCCTGCTTTTGTTAATGAAGCCATAAAATTTTAGTCTGAGAGGAATCTGAGATTTCCACAATCACTGCTTAATTATATATATGAAGCAATTAAGATCTTTGACCAGATTCCTCATCCCCTTACTAACAAGCTGTTCGGGGAGGAAGAATTATTAATCTGGTCATTCAGAGCTCAGGACATTAACTGGGCCACTTGTTACTCTCGCACTAATGTGCCTTAAAGGCCAGCATCCTTGCAGTGCCCTCTCTCTTCCTGCCATGAGGGCTCACTCTTCCACTTCCTCCATTTGTGCAGCCAAGTGTACAAGTTAGGTGAGCCCTGCTCTACATATCTAAGTGTGATCTCCCTCTGCTAGCAGGCCAGTCCTGTGCTTTGCTGTACAAAGAAGAGAAGAGAAGAGGTGAGAGCCCTTTTGCAGCTCCAGACTCTAAGAATCAGCCCTATGTTCAATCCATCCCAGGGACAAGAAAGTACTGTGAATGGAAGCGCCACAGTCTGGTTTAGACAGGCAATATTCCTTGACCTATGAGATGAGACTAAGTTTAATAGAAACTCTGATTCTAAGTCCTCTGAGAAAATGTATTATTTGTGCTAGCAAAGTGCCTGGAACATAGTAGATCCCCAGTAAAAGCAATTAGCAAGTGGACTATTGCTTCACTTTTATAAAATTAAAATAGTGTTATATAGCCAAAACCGGTTTGGCTCAGTGGTGGAGCATCGGTCTGCGGACTGAAGGGTCCTGGGTTCGATTCCGGTCAAGGGCATGTGCGTTGGCTGCGGGCACATCCCCAGTGGGGAGTGTTGCAGGAGGCGGCTGGTCAATGTTTCTCTCTCATCGACATTTCTGGCTCTCTATCTCTCTCCCTTCCTTTCTGTAAAAAATCAATAAAATATATTTTAAAAAAATATATATATATATAGTGTTATATGTAATGTATTTGCAACATAAAATCTCTGTTTTTCTACTGCTAGTAAATATTGAAACTACTGCAGAAGTGGCATTGCTTTTTTTCTGAGAACCTAAACATCTTACCAAACTATTCTTTTTTTGCCTCTAGTCATTAATCTTTGCTCCTGTTCATCATGTAAACTCTTTTGTGCTTATTTAAGTAAAGCAATATGAAAATGAGGTATGAAGCCTCCCAAACACCACTAACCCAGTAATATTTGGGAGGGTTTCCCACCACAAAGCTCCCCAACGATATGGCTCAAGAGGTATTTCTGAGGGTGCAGCTCATGCTGTTTTACGATTGAAGAAATACAGATCGTAGTGTGTATCTAGGATACCACCCAAGTATGTGACAACTGGGCCTTTAAATTTACTCACAGAATGTAAAGGTAAATGTAGTAATGCCAAAAATGTAATTGTGCGTTATAACAACCATCAAGACCTAGCTGGTTTGGCTCAGTGGATAGAGCGCCAACCCTCAGGCTAAAAGGTCCTGGTTCAATTTTAGTCAAGGTCATGTACCTTGGTTGGGGATTCCATCCCCAGCACTGGTGGGGCATGTGTGGGAGGTAACCAATGGATATGAGATATGAGATGTTTTTCTCTGTCTGTCACCCTCCCTTCCACTCTCTCTAAAAATTAATGGAAAAATATCCTGGTGTGAGAATTAACACACACACACACACACACACACACACACACACACATACACACACAAATCAAAAGAGGAGTATTTCATTTCAAATAGCCTATAAAATACGGAACCTTCAGATGGCCTCTGTGGAGGACTCTCTGTCCTTATTGTGCAGGTGGTGACTTTCTCCAGGTTCATAACAGCCAGTCATTTTGATCCTTATGTTATATAATTTAAATTTCCAAATAGTGATTGATGTCCCTAATAATAAATATTATCTGTGTTTCTACATCTTGCTTTCAAATGTCTTAGACTAAGAGAATAAAGTGCAATAAAGAGCTTTATTTTCACTCGTGTTTGGCCGAAGCATTTACTGTTTCATTATAATTTTATCATTATTGTAATATATATATATATATAGATATATAGATATATTAATATATAAAATAAAAATATTTCCATGTAAAAATCTCAACTTAACAACTTAAATCTATTCAAATCTTAGCTACATTTACCATTCTGTGCCAATTTTAGATAGGAACTTAAGTAGTACTGATTACCTGAAGCACTAAGGGGTAGATTTATGTTGCTTGCTACTGACCTGGAAGTTTTGAAAAAGACTTCATTTTCCTTACTAGATGTTGTGGATTGCCACAGAACAGACAAGAGTTGATTTGACCTTAAATTAAATAATCATTGATAAATTTATGCCAAAAAGGTTTATGGGCTCACCACACTCTGTGTTACTTAAGTGAACAATTAATAGGCATGGACAAATAAGAGAATGAAAACAATGGTAATGAGCTGAGTGTACCCTATAATATCTCACAGTACTCTGACCACCTCTTATTAGAACATAGATCTAATATTTACATCTTCATTATTTATTTAAGGGCTTATGTAATCACTGGTTAATTACTTGGAAATATGTCTTCAAAATTGTTCTCTGAGAGTAGTCAACGAAAGGAAAAAATGGCATTTGTAGGGCCAATTAATTGTCAGATCAAATTAAACAATATAGTATAATATAAATGTAATAGCAAATAAAAGAATTTATTTTTCTCATGATGAAGGGAAAATACACTTTTCTAACTCTCTTCCAAGGTCATTAATGAAACATGGGACCAGCATCAGTAATTACAATATCATGAATACTTAAATTTCCCTCACGCTGAAAAACCATGATAAGATTACAGCCAGCACACTGATTTTGCTACATGACCTCTCAACTGAAAAACTCCAACGATCTTGCCTTAGAATGATCAGTTACGTTTTTCTTTACCTGATAAAAAGAAAAATAAGAGAAATGTTTGAGATTCCAGAATTTGCAGTTTGCACAAAACAGTCTAAAGAACCTGAAGCTTGTAGGTAACACATTCATAATCCAATAGTCAAAGCTATTATTGCTGGTATAACTCAATGCATGCTCTTTGTTTTGCATTATTCTAGGCAATTCATCTTTAACTTCAAGCTTTTTAAAATGTAGGTATAATGTATAAAAAGAGAATGTAGACGAACATTGTATGCAGCAATAGATATAGCAACTCCAGTGAAATTCAACTTTAGTTTAGAAAATTGCATAAACTCAATTCTGCAGGATTATGTAGAATAAAACATTGTAAGTTTGTGAATGATACCACTACAGTCTAATGCACAGGCCCGTTCTAGCACAAATGCGTATGGCCAAGTTATGTGCACTTTATGAGACAATGAAACTAAAAGTTTATCTTGAGTATCTTTGTATATACCATCTTTTTACTTAATTGTCTGTACCACCACACATTTATCACATACCAGCTTTTGAATTTATCTCCTCGTATGCTCTACCATAGCAACTACAATAGTTTAAAAGCATATGGTAGGTACAAAGTACAGGAACATTAATGCCCCTTGTAATCACTTCCTCCTCCCTGTTGTATTATCTAGCACACTCCTTAGCTTGCTTCTTTTCTTAGAATATAGTTCTTCTCTGGACAGGGGTGACAAGAAAAGTACTTAACAACAGAAAGTGATGGCAAGGGCACCCAACCAATTAGGACAGAACCACAACCAACTCTGTGGCTGAGTCCTGCAGGCCTTATGATAGATAGATATTAACATTCTAATTGTCATTATGCAGCTGTAGTTCCAAGGGTCTCTGTAAGGGGTTGGGACAGCTGGGCCAGACTGTACATTGAAGAGCTTGGGGCAGCTAGAAGTATCACCCAATACAGAAGTAATTCAGATTTTTATAATCCTTGTGCTAATGTAAGTATGGAATAACAGCCTACCACAAATTTATCCATCTCTATGACTTTAATGATCACATTCCTCAGGTGACCAGCAAAAAAATGAAGTATTTAACTCATTTTCAGTAATCTGTTAGAGAGAGTAAAAATAAGACCATGTCAGTTGTTCGCACTGAGTAACTTCAAAATTTAGTGGGCTCTCTTCCCTTATAAACATAATCTTTTAAATGTTTTCCCCTTCCTGCAAGGATATTGCCACCCATTCTGGCTCCCAGCTTCAAAACTTGAGCCATTTCTGACTGTACCCTCTTTCTCATATGCAGCAGTCTCATTGCCATCCAGTTTTATCAATTGTGCATAAGAAATAGCTCTGTCATTCAGCCTCTTCTTCATTCCTATCACCATTGTAGTCCAGGCCCTTATACCTCTTGTTTATGTCATTGTGATAGACATGATTTCAGTCCCAACTGCCAGACTCCCACTTCTAATTCATTGTTGAATGTAGGTATGACTAGGATTACTTCCCTACCCAGCAGATTTGATGATTCTGCATTGAACAAAAACTTGCTTCAAATTTCTACACCTTAAATTTACCAATGGACCTTTTGAGCCTCATTTTGTATCCTCATTCACACACCCACATGTTCTCATCATTCTTTTAATCCATTTTTTACATCTTGAATTAAATTAATATTAATATTTTTCCTCCACCTCTATACCTTTGCTCATGCAAGTCCCTCTATACTTTTGCTCATGCAATGCCCTCTTCCTGGAAAGCCCTCCCTGTCCCCCTCATCTTCCTTCCCTATCAAAAATCTTAGCGGTTTCCTTAAGGCTCACTTTCCTCAAGAATTATTTCCCAATCCCTGCAAACAAAATCAATCGCTGTCCTAGCAGAGTCTTTTTAGTCTGTATTTGTAGTGATCATATTATGCTTTATTTTACTATTATTTTGGCTCATAGATCACAAGCTTTTTTATATTTGGAACTATGTCTAATATCTAAATGTCTAACACAGTACCTTAAGAGCATGTGCTTAATAAATATATGTGGAGCTATTTGCAGTCCCCCCCCATCAAAACACAATGATTCACAGTTTAGCAATTCCAAGTTGGGGCACTATACAACCTCTCATTTGGCTCCTATCTCTAGAGTGAATCAGTGTGTCAGTTACTACTTAGACACAAACTCCCCAGTCAATTGAGAAAAAAATGCAATTCAAGTATTACTGACTACCTCAGAGAAACACATACATTACATAAAAGTGCTTTGTTTTATTGGCAAAATATTTACTCCAAAGAAAATTTGTAATCTATGTGATTAGACAAAAACCTTAATACAAAACTAAGAAACATTACTTCTGCAGTTTTGTCTCCTAGATATCCCATTTACAATTCTTTTGGCCTACACTCACCTCCTAAGTTGAACTAAAATGCTGTGTAGTTAGAGTCTGCTTCCTCAGTGGAATTGAGTTGTTTCTATCAGGTGCAGCAGCAGTTCAAGCACGTAGAGACCATAATCAATCAATCAATCGATAAATAAATAAATAAAATAAAAAATTAGTGATTAATAAAAAATAAATAAAAAACACAGTCCTTACAATATTGTTGACTACATTCCCTGTGCTGTATTTTACATCCTCGTGACTATGTATGGTGTCATGTGGGTACTGGAAATATCAAGGGGAACACTTTGTAAAGTATTGTCTAGCCACTACACTGTACATCTGAAACTAATATAAAATAATACTGAATGTAAACTGTAATTTAAAAACAAAATTAAAAAAAATAAATTAAATTAAAATAAATAAATAAAGAAGCACGTAGAATTTAATTCTGCAGCAGCATTTATTGAGAAGATATACTGGCGAAGGCACTGTGAGGGATAAGCAAAGACAAAGGATGCCATGAAGGGAGCTGTGATCTCTTGGATGAGAATAAATCAAGGTCAGAACACATGAGAAACCCCATCCTAAAAAACTCTCTGAGAGTTTGAACGGAGGTTCATGTGGGAAGCATTGCAGGCAGCAAATTGAGATCCTCCTATTTGTTGGGGAAATTAGTGTACTCGTCCACCTTTCTTGCACACTCACTATGTGCCAGATAATGATCCAGTCCCTGCCTACATGGAAACTGCTATGTATCTAATCATTTCCCAATTCTATTTCATAAAATAAATTTAGCAACTATGCATTTCTTGTGGGTATAGAATGGTGAAAATAACTCACACAGAGTTACACCTGTGAGTCTAATCTAAAAGTATCATAGATACTCGCCACTGTCCAGAGTGTAATTTGTGACATATCCTGTCCATAAAAACAGAATCCAAAATTCTATGTATTTCACACAAAGGTAACTTGACACAATGCTCCTCCCTTCCTATTTATTTCATATGAGAGACACCTGAGTGCCCTAAATTATTTTTATCATCAATAATGCACTATTCAGCTTACAAATATCTTTCTCCACCTCAAGGAATACATTTATTTTATTTTTACATTTTGGCAACTGTTATCAACAGTTAGTGGAAATAACAAACTGTCATCATACCATACATCATTACCATGCTTGGCTTATTTAAGGATCAATGGTCCTTGATTAACAATCTCC